GGGCAGACCGAATAGTCAGGACGTTTAGACTGAACGGTCTGGACATTCCGGACCGACCAGACCGGTATTCTTGTGGACTGACCGGTCCACGTCCTGAGGTCAGAACAAAATTTTCGGTTCTTCGTTTCGCGATCTGATTTGAGCAATAGTTGCTTAATCCGATCAACTGTGATTTAGAATAACATGATTCAACCTTATGGATGGTCCATAGTGGATGAATACATGTAACTTAATCAAGATATTGGATGAATGGTCTATTCGGATTATGTAATACATCTGATCAAGGAGCAATAGTTGATCCTTGATTCGATTGGTACAATCGTTGCACCTAAACCGGTTAGATCTAGGAGCCCTACGAGTAAAGTACTTGTCAAGGCCTCGATCGTACGTATCATGGGTCATGCCAAAGTTGGGTGTGTCGTATTATCTTGGTGAGGCAAGATGGAGAAATGGTGGTTCTCATAGCTTGAAAATATATGCTTGATCTAAGTGTGGTTTAAAAATCCCTTTTATGTAATCCTAAGCTTATATCTTCCATTACTAGAGCATTTGTCAAGGTATCGATCGTCCGTATCACGGATCATGCTAAAGTTGAGCGTGCCGTATTATCTTTGTGAGGGAAGGTGGAAAATCGTGGTTCTCACAGCTTGAATATGGTTTAACTTAGGTTAAGTTGTCAAGTTTGACTTGAGACTTAACGGTATAGATGAGTCGAGTATGCAATGATATCTGATATTATAGTCCCAGGAATTCCCAGCAAGTACTGACTCCACGTCGTCGTCCGGTACTAACTATGCGACTCACTAGTCTAACTGACCAACATAGTGGTACTGACTCAATTCGTCTACGGGTATCATATATCTCGCACAGTACTAACTCAATTCGTCAACCGGTACTGGCTCCGCATCCACACGTTTCTGCAATAGTACTGACTCAATTCATCAATCGGTACTATTAGAAAAACACCCATACACACACACCAGTGCCGACTCTCAAGTTCGTCAACCGATAATGGTTCCACATCCTACGAGCACACACTTCTGTAATAAGACTGACTCCACATCGTCAACCGATACTATTACAGAAACACTTCCACACACACACTGCTGAATCCAAGTTCGTCAACCGGCATTGGTTCCACATCCACATATCCCCGTAATAGTATTGACTCCACGTCATCAACCGATACTATTATGGGCACACGCTTCTGTAATAGTACTGACTCCACACCGTCAATCAGTACTATTACAGAAACACTACACGCACGTACCAGTACTGACTCCAAGTTCGTCAACCGGCATTGGACATATGTTCCTCCCCATCGCACTAGTACTAACTCGTCAACTAGTACTAAATACGAGGCTCATCGGCGAAACCCAATTACAAACATGCTTCCAACGTGCTACACCACGACCCCGTCGTAGACCACATGAGTAAGCTACAAACATGGCACACACCTTGCATATCATCCCCAACAACCATCACACGTGTCATGATACCCGGCCCCGACTGCGGTACTGTTTAATGCCATGGACACTACCCCACATAATAAACACATAACGTTTCACTCGATGTTTGTCTCATGCCTTACCATGCATTAAAGCTATTTAGTTTATTTCCTTTCTTTTCCTCTTACGAATTCTCGTTGTTCCAAGCTTGTTTTTCCATAGTTCGGTCGGTCTATAAATGGATCGGATCAGTCCAAGGTCTCTGTTTCTTCCCAAGACCAATCGGTCCGTCTTCAGCGCGTTTCTAGTGTGGACCAACCAGTCCAACCACTAGACCGGTCGGTCTAGATCTTCTGGTTCATCCCGAGACCATTTTTCTTCTGTTTTGGTCTAGATCAGTCGATCCAGACACTAGATCGGTCGGTTCAGGTGTTCCGTTGAGTCCCGAGATATCTCGGTCTCATAATTTTTCATTTTTGGTCTGGACCGGTTGGTTCGGGTGATGGACAGGTCAGTCCAACATTTGTTTTGGCTTGATTTCTTCTTTCACAGGCCATACCGGTCAGTCCAGGGCATATACCAGTCGGTCTGGGTCCTGGGCGAAGAACAGATCGTGATTTTTCCAGATTTCCAGATTTTTCCTCCGGCTTTGATTGGTCATATCTCCCTCGTTTCTTATTCAAATTAAGCTTCGGTTGCTTCTAAATGTTCAGTGAAATGTTCTCTTTCAATTCCAGTCAACTAATTATCGAAATATTGCAGTCACAGGATGAGAAATGATTCGTATTTATGTAGAACAGATTTACGCTTCTACACTTTCCAGTTTTTCTTCGGTCTTCATTCATTCATATCTCATTCATTTTTCAACCAAATCGAGCTCCGTTTATTTCTAAACGTTAAGTGCAATGCCCTCTTTCTAAATCATACAACAAATCATCGATCTAACACAGTCGGACGATGAAAACAAGCTCACACAGAGTTAACTGAAGCCATTCACCTTTGATCAGATTCGGATCTGATTTTTGGCCGGAGTTCGTGTTGTTTTTCGGCGATCCTTCCAGACCTTCTAAGGCTGCCCCTATTTTCCTCCCCGAGCTCCTTTTCTCTTCTCTCCCTCTCTCTCTCTTTCTTCTCTTTCTCTTATGTTCTTCCTCTGCAGAGAAAATGGCTGAGATGTCATCTTTGCAGGGGGTTTCGTCGACAAGGATGAGTCAGATGGGCTCTACCCATTCCCAGTGTAAAGCCTGCATCATGGAGGGTCCTAGGTGGTCGCGACGCATCATTTGGCGACCTACATGCGAAAAAAAGTTAGTAGAAGTCGGCAACTCGAGCTGGATCACACATGTGCTTGTCGGGCTGGACGGTCGATTTGCCTCTTGGATCGGTCGGTCCAGGCGTCATGTTTCCCGTTTTTCACCTTTTTCTCGTCTTTTTCGCACGTGGTGATTCCCGGGCCTTTTTCCGCCACCTTATAGTCCATTTTTAAGGTTTTTAAGGATCGTCGATCTAGTTCTTTTTTTTCCGAAACTAAGTAAACATTCAAATCTGGATTCGGGGTATTACACATTAAACCAGTAGGTTATAAGTGGATATTTATAAGGAAAAGAAATGAACAAAATGAAATTATCAGATATAAAGCGCGACTTATTACACAAGGTTTTACCCAAATGTTCTGGTATTGATTATGAAGAGACATATTCTCATGTGGTGGATGCAATAATATTTAATATTTAATATGTCTTGTAGTACATGAAAGACTTGAAATGCGTCTCATGGATGTAGTCACAACCTATTTGTATAGATCATTAAATCATAATATTTATATGAAAATCCTTGAAGGATTTAAAGTGCTTGAAACACATATTGATATTTCTTGAAAAATTTACTCAGTAAAGTTAAACAAAACATTGTATGGATTAAAACAATCAGAACGAATGTGGTATAACCGTTTGAGTGAAATTTTAACAAAAGAATGTTATAATAATGATCCTATACGTCCATGCGTATTCATAAAAAACATAGGATCTAAATTCGTCATAATTTTTGTTTATGTTGATGATTTAAATATCATTGGTTCTTCTGAAAAGTCATTACAAGTTGCGTAATGTTTAAAAAGAGAGTTTGAAATGAAAGACCTTGGAAAAACAAAATATTGTTTATGTTTTCAAATTGAACATCTGAAAGATGGTTCTTAGTTCTTACATCAATCCACTTATGTAGAAAAAGTACTTAAAAGATTTTATATGGATAAAGCTCAACCATTAAATACTCTCTCGAGGTAATGAGGTCATTAAATGTTAATAAAGATGTATTTAGACTTCGTGATGAAAATGAAGAACTATTTGGCCATGAAGTGACATGTCTTAGTGCTATTGTAGCATTAATGTATTTTGCTAATAATACATATCTTGATATATCTTTTGTCATAAGTTTGATGGCAATATATAGTTCTTCACCAACTCGAAGACATCGAAATGGTGTAAAACATGTAGTTAGATATCTCCGAGGGATTATGAATATGGATTTATATTACTCTAACATGATCAAATTAGATTTAATTGGTTATGTAGATGTAGGATATTTATCATATCCGCATAAAGCTCGCTCCTAATCAGGATATGTATTCACTTATGGTGGAACAATAATTTCTTGGCGTTCTACAAAGCAAACTTTAGTTGCAACTTCAACTAATCACGCAAAAATATTGGCGATTTATGAGGCAAGTCGAGAATGTGTTTGGTTAAGGTCGATACTCACCATATTTGGGGATCATGTAGTCTTTTAACCGATAAAGATATTCCTACAATGTTATTTGAAGATAATATTATATACATAGCGCAGTTAAAGAATGACTACATCAAAGGTGACAAAACGAAGCATATCTAATCACAGTTCTTATTCATTCATGATCTCCAAGAAAAGAGTAAAATAAAATAAGTGTTCATCAAATTAATTCAAGTGAGAATCCAACAGATTTATTCACCAAATCTCTACCCATATCGAAATATAAAAAGATGGTACATATGATTGAGATGCGTCGTTTCAAAGATATAAAATGATGATTTTTTCCAAGAAAAAAAGATATGTATTGGAGTCTTTTTTTCTTCACTAAGTTTTGTCCCACTGGATTTTCTTGTTAAGGTTTTTAACGAGACGATATCAAAACATATCTTGTGATCAATAGACATTCAAAGGGGAATGTTAAGAAATAAACGTAAAAGTGCTATAAATATCTATATTTAATATTTTCATGTAATTTTTTTTCTTATTAATTCAAAAATGTTGTTTTCTTTTTCTAAAACCTATAAATTTATAATCCTAAACACATAAAAAAAAAACAAAAGAAATAATAAGAAAAACATTCTGCCTCCTCCTATATCTTTTTGCATTTTTAGTTATTATTATTTTTGCAACAAAAATTATATTTTTATGCCATTAACGATTCAGTTAATTATCTAGTTTCCGGTATTGTAAAAATCGAAATTAATTTTTTTTTTGTGTTGAGAAAATAAATTAATTAATCACGACTGATAAAAATGTGCCCTTGAAATTGCCATTTCCGCCGTTTAACAATCTCGCAGGTCTTCGCTAATCCTCACGTAGTCACCACTCACCACCAAACAATGGACCCGGATTTGTCCGAACCCGGAACCCCACCCGAAATCGGTCCCGCCACCGTAGAAACCGCCGGCACTGGCGGCTG